TAGATAAGTCCCAGGAAAAAAACCTGTTCCTTTCATCCTCTTCATATATTAGAGACACTTATAAATGTGTCATTGATGAGGAAGGATATAATTCTGCACTGGTCTTTCAAAATATTTGGATTTGCAGATGTACACTCATGGTTCATTGTGCAGGTGAGGATATTACTTCACGTAGTAGGCAGAGTGAAGTTTCATCTGCTCAACAGAGTCTCCCTTCATGGTGTACTGCCACAATGTGGGACTAGTGAGCCAGTAACATGTCATATGGTAGTAATATCATGATATGTGTAGTTCTGCAATCATAAGTGTAAGAAGCTCTGCATCTGATTTTTGTATTTATGAAAACTAATATCAGTGATTTGTTTTCTTTTTAAAAAGATTTTATTTATTTATTTATTTATTTAGAGAGTGATTGGGAGGAGAGGCAGAGGGAAAGGGAGAGAAAGAATCTCAAATAGACTCCAAGCTGAATGTGGGGACTGACACAGGGCTCAGTCCCACAATCCTGAGAGCATGACCTGAGCTGAAATCAAGAGCTGGATGCTTAACCAACTGAGCCACCGAGGCGCCCCTTCAGTGATTTGTGTTCAAAATAAATATTTCCAAGTACTCTTCTTTTGATTTCCTGCAGCAGTTTAATTTGGGAGTGTGCTGAGATTGCCAAGAAGGCTATTAAAAGTGCAACCATTTATCTCTGTGTATTAAGACTATTTATGTTGAGCAACCAAAACAACATACAAAAACAAACTGGATATTGAAACTGTATCATAATAAATCTACAAATTTCTAACATAATTATAGCTTAGCAATGAGAGAATACTCATTTTTATTGTCTATTAGTATCACTTTCAATGAGTTTCATATAGTAGGGTTTTTTTTTTATAGTGAGGTTTTTAATTGGGTTCAGATTTCATTTGAAAAAACGGTTATGCTGCTAAAACATGTATGAAAACTGCCTTACCATGTTGTCTTCCTGTCACTGGCCTGCTTTTGATTTTCAAATTTGTCAATTTTTTTTTTTTTAAGAGTGTGTGAGTGGGGGTATGAGGCAGAGGGAGAGGGAGAGAGAGAATCTCAAGCAGGCTCCGTGCTCAGTGCAGAGCCTGGTATGGGGCTCAATCTCATGACCCTGAGATCATGACCTGAGTTGAAATCAGGAGTTGGATGCCCAACCAACTGAACTGCCCAGGCACCCCAAATTTCTCAAGATTTTTATAATTATGTTGATGATTATGAATTTGGTTTGCCTTTGATTAAAAAGTATATCTAGGAGGTCTAGCAATCTTAAAATACTGAAAATGTTTAGAAGGATTAACCATTTTTTTCTCTTAAAATTCTTTTAATTTTGCTGCCTTAGAGTCATTTCCAAATACACACTTGTAAAAGAAAGCCTATTTCCTTTTGCTTTGATATTTTTGAATAATGAGCAAGGTTTTGCAACTTTTAAAATTCTAGGGATAACAGACTGAAAACCAGTTTCCTTAATTAAAAATAACTTTTATAAAATTCCTTGTTTATTTGGGTGAAAACTGGATAAAAAGGATAGAATGTGATTTGATCAACATAATTTTGCCAAGCAACAGTTAATACTGAGTTAATACTTGAGATACAAAAATGAAATCATGGTCCTTAGAATTTAAGAGTCAAAAAAAAAATAGGTAAGCTGGAAATTACAATATAATCTGATGAGTGCTGTAACAGAAGAACGAACTGTACTACCTTTGTGGGGAAGTAATAGGAACAAATTGATAAAGGAGGTGGTATTTGAGAGGTGTCTTGGAAACTAGTAGGTATTTGTCAGGGTGGTGAGGGAGCACTTGTATCTGAAGAGCAACATGAACAAAAGCCTGGAAACCTTAAAATATGTAACAGTTGGGGGATAATTGAATGTAGTTCACTATGACTAGAGAGCAGGGTGTCTTGGGGAGAGAAAGTGTGAGAAAAGAGAAGATATAGTTAGTTTAGTGGAAGAGCAGCTGATGAATTTGGAGAGAGAAACTGGTCAACATTGTGAAGGGCCAAGTGTGCCCTGTTGAAAAATTTAGATTTCTTATTTATGCTGTGGAGATTTGCATTTAAGAAAGCCTTATGTTTTAGGAAGAAATGGCAGAGGATGGATTAATAAATGGAGAAATTTGTTCATTTATTCAATAAATATTTATTGATAACCTACTATGTAAAAGTAACTATTCTAAGAACTTGAGCTATAACAGTGAACAGAAAGACAAAGATATCTGTTTTAGTGGAGCTTATCACTTATAATTTAGGATGAAAGACAATATAACAATAAATATAGTAAATACATTAATCATATGGCATGTAAGGAGGTAATAAATACTAGGAAAGAAGGTAGACTAAGGGAGTGTAAAAATGCCAGGTGGGGAGTAACTGCAATTTGAATGAACTGGCAAAACATGGTTTGGAAGCTGTTACAGTGATCCAAATGAGAAATGATGAGGACTTAGGCTTAAGTGTGGGACTTTAAAATGGAGAGAAGGAATAAATTGGGAGACATATTTTTCTTTTTCTTTTTTTGATGCTTTTTATCCTAAAATAAAACACAGAAACTGTATAAAACAAACCTATAATGTAATCAATTATAAGATGAATGAACTTGTAACAACCACTCTGGTAAAAAAAAAAAAAAAAATGAAACTTTGCCAGCCACACAGATCCCTCAGTTTGCTCCACCCCATCACAATCATAAACTCCTCTCTCCCAAGCAATCTCATCTTTGTGGTAATCACTTTCCTGAATTTGGTAGTTTTATTTACCAAATGTAGATCCCTCACATGAAGACACTCTAACTTGATCTTGCCAATTTAAAAAGTTTAAACTTTTTTTTATTTTTAAACTTTTTTTTGGAAAATTTAGTTTATTTATTTATTTGAGATTGAGAGGGCTTGTGCGAGCCAGAGGAGGAGCAGAGGGGAAGGAGAAGGAAGGGAAAAGAATCTCAAGCTGACTGAACATGAAGCCTGGCGTGGGATGAATCCTATGACTCTGAGATCATGACCTGAGCCAAACCAAGAGTCAGTTGCTTAACCGACTGAGCCACCCAGCCATGCCTAAAGAAGTTTATTTTGATATCTTTTTAAATCTATGGGTTTTCTCCTTCCCTTTGTTTTCCTTATACTTTATGAGCCGAAGAGCAGAGCCATTTGACCTTTAGAACAACTTGTTATTGTGGATTTTTCTGATTGTACCCTCATGGTGCAGCTTAACATGGTCCTCTGTCCTTTGTGTGACTTGTAAATTGACAGCTGGACTAGGGGCTTGATCAGACTGAGGTGTCATTCCTTTGGCCATAACTATTAGCAGTGGAGTGTTTGTTAAGTTCATTAAGAAGCACATAATGTCTGGTTGTCTTTTGCATTATTAACAGCTGTTTCTGCTCAGTGCCTAGAATTAGTAATTTATTAGGGGCTGTAAAATGTTGATATTCATTATATCTGTTTTAGTTATTATCTGGAATACTTTTATCAAGAGACATTTCCCTTTATCTATTATTTAGTTATCCTGTGATGCAGTTTCTATAGGAATGATAAGATACACGCCTTTTCCTTTATTTATTGATTTTCAAGGTAATACATTGGTTCTCTGTCATCCTCAATTTTTATTACTCTATCAGTATTTTCTCCTCAGTATGGCCTTGTCTGGAAAGGGGTGCTGGTTGGCCAGTGTCAAGAATTCATAGGTGCTAGGCTGCCACAGTCTTTTCAGACCTCATCTGCTTTATTCACTTAGGCAAAAACCCCTCTCAGTTTTAGCTCCTGTTCTAAAATTGGCCTTTGATATGTTCCAATGAAAACAGTGTTGGCTATTTTGGGGGTCTTGCTGTTTTCACATCCATCACATAACCCATTGCCTCCTTCTGCTTTTTCCTGCACAAATGCTAATACCAATCAGGTCTGTAGCTGTTGGTTTGTCCCCAACTGTTTGTATTTTAAGTTTTATCATCAAGTTTTGTAAATATTTTCCAGGGGATTTGGGTTTTCCTATTGAGTTGCTTGGTCTGTTTTTATGTGGAAATCAGGGAGATTAAAAAAACAAAACAAAACAAAACAAAAAAACCCAAAACCCACCCAAACCAAAAAATAACTCACTGCTTCCAATGCCATCTTCCCAGAAAGGGGTTGAATCTTTGTGGAGTTAAAGTGGAATCAAGAATAACTGAAATTTCTGACTTAGAAGATCTGGTGCATGGTGATTTCATAGATGAGGATTAAGAAATAGAAGAGAAGGAACAAAGTATGTGTGGAAGATAAGATCAGTTTTTTATTTCTTGGGTTTAAAATGCTTATCATGAATTATTCTAATATTAATACCTTCTTAAGGAGTAGACTTTTAGAATTTGATAAAAATAACTAGGTAAAAGAGCAACACTTTGAAAATAATCAAAGACATTATAAATGGGAGAAATTACTACTTTTTGTTAAAATTACAGTGTGAAAAACCAACAGAATAGGAAGCATGCACTTGAAGATAAAGGAGACATTAGTGAACTAATAGTTTTATGTGTTTTCCATAAGTATGCATAGCAAATGAAGATTTCCATTGAGCAAGACATTTACATTGAGGAAGACACTTTTTGAAGATTTATAAGGGAGGCAACTGGGTTTTTGGTCATTAGGTATAAATGCTACCGTATATGTTTGATATAATATTAAGAGAATTTATAAAATCTGAGTATTTTTCCTATTAGAAAAATAGATGTTAAGTATTCACAAAGGTAAAAATCCTAGGTAAAAATGTTAAGTATTAGACTGCAGTGTACCATCACAGATCCTGTATTTTAAGAGTAGGTGGAAAAAGTTTTCTCTCTTAAGAGCTATTCTAGATAATTCTAAAGTGCTCTGGTTTCAAAAAGGAATTTTTAAAATTGTATGCACATTTAGACACTCCTTTTTAAAAATTTTCCTTCATATCAAATAACCCAATGGCTTCCTTTTGACCTCTGTCTTTTCCTTTCTTCTTTTTCTTCTTCTTTCTAAAATTAGGCCAGTCTTCAGAGACCTGAGATTAAACTTCAGTCACTAAAAGAAGATATTAAGGAATTCTTTAAAATATCAGGTTTGTAAGTTGCTCCCCCACCCTAATTCTTTAAGGCAAAATAAGAAAATACTTTATTTGGACGGAATATTTTATCGTTAAACTTCCAATTACTTATTCAAAATTGTGAAACAGTGGCTGGATAGGTTTCTGTTTGAGGAGAATTAGAACTTTCAGATATTTCAATAAAATGCTGCAAAAATCCAGGAACACTGTGGGAATCTCTGCATTAAAGTAATCAGTTCTGAATGCTGCTTGCTTCCTGATAAAAATACATCCTGAATGTATGAAGAGACCCCCTCGCTAAGTACTTCCTCTTTTACTTTTTTTTTTCTTTAAGATTTTATTTATTTATTTGACAGACAGAGATCACAAATAGGCAGAGAGAGAGAGAGGAAGGGAAGCTCCCCAAGGACCCTGGAATTATGACCTAAGCCAAAGGCAGAGGCTTTAACCCACTGAGCCACCCAGGCACCCCATGCCCTCTCTTATTTTCATTTGTGGCTTCTTTTTCTCCTATACTTCTTTCCCTTCTATACTTTTTTCCCCCTCCTCTTTTCTATCCTTTCAAAGAAAAGAAAATCCTGATTTCTTTTAGAACAAGAAAAAGTTCCCTATTCTAACCTTTGCACATGGAAATTGAGATGTTAAGTGGTTTACTTACCTAGAAAAGTTCAAGTAGTTAGCAGCCAAGCTCACTGGTCTGATGGTACCTCATAGTAATGTTTTTTTGTTTGTATGTTTGTTTTAATTTTTTTATTTATTTTCAGCTTAACAGTATTCATTGTTTTTGCACCACACCCAGTGCTCCATGCAATCCGTGCCCTCACCAATACCCATAGTAATGTTTTGTTCTTCGGGAGTTTATTGACTCGTTAGTTGTAACTAATTGCTTATGATCAGTCTTTGTCAAGTGCCTGGCTGTTCCTTGCCCTTCCCTTGGTACATTCCTGATAGACTGGTAGTACAGTAGCCAGCACTGTTTTGGTATTCATTGGGTACCTTAGCAATGGAAGAAGGATTTCTCCCATCTTGAGAAAATGGTGCAATAGTTTTACCTAAAAAATAGTGTCATACTGATAATTTTGTACTCAGTATTTGCCAACAGAGTGAATGTATAGGAAATAATTCCTTAATAACACACAGCAATTGGCAATTGATAAAGTTTTTCCACAAATGAATATAATGTTAGAGTCTTAGTGAGATAAATTTAATTATGTTGTATGCTTATTTTTAAAACTAATATGTTTATATATTTTATTCTTTTTTAAAAAATAGGTTGGGAGAAGAAACTTCAGAATGCTGTTTATAGTGAACTGAGTGTGTGAGTTTTTCCTACGTATTTTGAGATTACTGTTATGTTTAGCTGTATTTACTTTGTAAATAATGAATATAGTATTGCTATGTACACTCATTATATTGTTATTTTTCATTAGTATTTATATAACATTTCATGTAAGTTAATACATTTAAAAATCAAAGTCTTGCCTGAGAATGAAGAATTAATAAGTGTTGTTTTTTACACCAATATTTTTATATTAACAATTCATTTATCTAGTATAGTAAGGGAATTAAGCTAATATTTCAGATAACTGAAGCTTATCAATATTCTTTTTATTATTGCCATTTTGGATATTACCCTTTTTCTATCTTTATAAAGCAACCATTCTAAATATAAAATATAATTAACTTCCTTTTTTTTTTTTTTTTGCAAAATTGGTGTCATTAGGAAAAATCAATGTTTTTGTTAATGTGGACTTGCCCTCAGAGTGTGTTGAGGTGTATATAACTATTTGTTATTATAAAGAATAAAGATCTAGAGTTAGCTTTTATAGTTTATTCAATATCCCATTATTCATCGCTTATTCATTGAGCACCTACAATGTGCTAGCCCTATACTAGGCACTGGGAATATAGTATAGAACAAGAAATCAATTCCTACCTTCATGGAGCTTATAGTCTAATGGAGTTCTTATGTCTTTTTCTTTTCTTTTCTTTTCTTTTTTACTGCTATCAATGTGCTTATGTCTCTAGCATTCTCTAGATTCTAACACTTCTGTTTATAATTGCCCCTTCTAATCTGCTATTAACTAGGAAACAAGATAACCCAGTTTATCAAGATTGTTTTTAAAAATAAAGAGACTCAGATGGAGGCCTGTGGACCTGTGCTTAGACCCACATTTAAAAAACTAGTATTTACTTCTTTGCTTATCACCATTTTCCCAACAGATTTACAAATTCTTAAATAATACTATATTTAAGTGCTATCTGTTAATGGAAGTTGACTGTGACCATACCCCTGGTACTAGTCACCGAGGAATAGATGTTTATCATGATAAGTAAGGTCTTAAATGTACAGTATGTAAAGAGATGGCACAGGTTACTTAAACTAATATGAACATAGTGATTTATCTCTTTGCCTATTACACAGAAAGCTTGTAACTTTGTCTTTATGTCCAGTATTGGTGGAATAAAAGCATCTGGTTCTATGTAATTACAAACTGAATTCTCATCTGAGGAGATATTACTGGGGATTGCTATTTTTGTCTAATTCATTCCTGAAAATTGTTCTGTGAGTGAACAGTGAGTGCCTTTTTACTTGATGGGAAGGACAATATTTCATTCATTGTCTTATTTTCAGTATCCTAACAATAGACATTAAATAAATATTTTTTAATAAGTTGTTGGGATTTTTGAAGGAGTAATACCTTTTTTACTCACTTGGGTTCTGCAGAAATTGAGAAATAAGATAAAACGTAAAGGTAAATGGGTGATCAAAATTATACTTTTATTACTGGTGAAGACTAGATAAGAGGACATAGCTTAATGCAAAAGCAAAATGAGTCCTTTAACTGAACTCCAGAATTAAATAGACTTACTTTCTAGTTAGATAACATTGGTGAGCATGGTCAGTTTATTATTCCAAAATTTAAAAGTTGGATAAGGCATTATACTTCTTCTGTGGTATAACAAGTAAAGCCCTAGAGAGAGGCCAAGAATGTTACAGTAATGGACCTCTTTTCACAGGGAAGGACACATCCAGGGTGGAGAAGAAGTATTTCCACTAACATAAATCAGAAGAATAAAGTGGACTTAGTATATTGTGTTGCATTTTTCATTGGCAGAAATCATTAGATGGACAAGTGAAGAACGCAAAAAGTAGAGTAGAAGAATTTACTAGGTTAAGTAAAAAAAAATATGCTCTTACCTAATAAAGGTGTAAACACATGAACTATACAGATGATACATGAAAATTGTTAACTTCATTTTAGAAAACATGACAAAGATTTTTGTCCAATTCTTATTTAAAAGAGAGAGAAAAAATTTTGTATTCTATTATTTACCTGAAACTGTAATTGTAGGCTAGGTTAGTTCTTCCCACTTCATATTTACTACTTAATTGGAACTCCTGGGTGGTTCAGTTTGTTAAGTGACTGACTCTTGGTTTTGCCTCAGGTCATGATCTTGGGATCATGGGGTCAAGCTTATTTAATTATTGTGTTAATAGTTAATATTTAATAGGTAATTTACATGAGTAAATGATATTTATGTAAGCACTGTGCTAAGCACTTTAAATACATTGCCTTATGGAATGTTATCTTCACAACAACTCTATGATTGTGGAATTTTTTATTACAACCATTTTACAGAAGAGAAAACTGAAGTTCAGTTTTTTTTTTCATTTGTGAATGGGGAAAGATGATTTATTTAGGTACATGGAGTATAGATTTTAGTGGAAAAAACAATTAGCTAGAAATAGTTAGTGAAACTGTTTTAGAGATTGGATTGAACAAGTTGCTTTTTCTATTCCAGATGTGTTTCCTTTGGACGTTTGAGCATTTTACTCTTAAGTCCTGGGATAAGTATAATTAAGCTTGGTATATCATAAACACTTTATGTGTTGGTGTCCCACTTTGGATGAGACATTTCTTGAAATTCAGTGTATGGTTCTTGAGTATTGGAACATGGTTGCTTTGCTGTAGGTACAAGTGTTAAGACTAATTTCGATAGGAGTTATTTGTTCCTATGAAAGAGACTGGAATCTCTAAGTAACTGTTGAACTGTTATGTTTTCCTATTGTGCTTTCTGTGATTTCATGTCAGTCTGTGTCTCAATCATTATATTCCAACCATTATGGCTTTTTCTGATTTTTAAACATTCTAAATGTTCCTAACTCAGGGTCTTGCCTGAAATGTTCTTGCCTGGAATGTTCTTCCCCTAGATCTTTGTATGGTTGGCTCCTTCTCACTTATGTCTTAGTTCAAGTATTAGCTCCCATAGACACCTTCCCTTCCAAATCACTTCTATCTCATTACCCCACTCTCATTTTCTCATGGCATGTATTACTATCTGATATTGTTATATTAATTTGTTTCTTTTTATAATTATTGACTGTCTTTCTTCACTAGAATGTTGGGTATATGAGAACAGGGGATATTGTCTTGATTGCCACTGTATACTTAGTACCTAGAATGGCTCAAATATTTGTTGAATAAATGTTTTCTTAATAAAAACAATATATTTTGAATATGAATATAAAGTTACATAGAAAACAGAAAGAATCCATAAGACATTAACATTTTAACATTTTATTAAACTCACGGATTATATATTAGAACATGGCTCTTTTGAAAGATAGTATTTATATTATCATTTCAACTATGTAAAAAATATATAATCATATTGAAAAGGAAATTGGGAGAAATGAAAACAGTGGATATGTTAGCAAGTTCATGGATTTTTTTTCTTAAAAAATTCCTCTAAATGTTACAATATTTTTATGCTAAAAGTAACAGCTCTGACAATTTTTATATGAGCATTTACAAAGATCAGTGATTTTAAAATTACCTCAAATTATGAATTCAGATTATTGTGCAATTCAACTTTTAACAAGTGATTAAATTTCTAATCTAAAACTACAATACTAGTAGGATAAGAACGCTTTATTATGTTGTTGTGTCTTCTATAAACACACAATATTGCTAACAGATATTCTAGTTCACTTATGACGTGGACCACAGAGGTAAGTGATTTCTAACAAAGAAAATTAATTAGTTATCAAGGTAATGCACAATATTTAGCTGCCTCTTTTTGTCCATAGGTTTCCTTTACCTAGTCACCCTGCTGCACCTCCTGAACATCTGAAAGAACCTTTGGTTTACATGAGGAAAGCTCAGGTTGGCTATCATTCATTTCAATTTTATTTTCCATGCCAAGTTATATAATACAGAATGGAAGATCCTTATGGACATCAGGAGTATATATTATTCATTGTATAGTAGCCTGGGTAGGACCCACTCCGGCAATCTGAATAGTATTTACATGCTCTTCCATTTTACTTTGAGTAACCAAGAAGCACATGTACATAACTACAGTTATCCTGAAAATGTTGAGTAGAAGGAGAAAAAATAATGTACCATACTGGCCTAAAATTGTAAATGTGATAAAAGTATTATGTGACCATTTATTTCTCATGCTCTGTGATAGTAAAGGAATGAGATGGGAATGAACTGATTCACTCTTCCTTTGAAATATTGGCTTTTGAAGCCAGTGATACTGATACTGTATTTGAAATTGGTTTGTTCTCACAGCAGGCTGCTAACATACTAACTGTATTCTGTCATGGAACGCAAATGAACCTGCTGTCTAAAATGGGCTGAAACAACTAAAATTCACTTTAAAAATGAAATGATTTTACACAGAAAATTGTAAAGAACTGTTAAAATAGAAACACGTTCTGTCACATGCCCTTGACCTCTAGACTGTTTTTCACCTCAGCAGGGCCTCGTGCACCTGCCTATGAAGTAGCCTATAAGGTAGCCTCTGAGGTAGCCTCTGTGAGCCTTCCTCAAGGCACTGAGTGTGACTCTCTGCCACTGCCAAGGTGTTTAATGGGCAACACAAAGTGGACCTTTCTCGATCATAGTCTCAGAGATTATCATGAAAAATTTCAAATATATCCCAAAGAACTTCCATGAACCCGTCACTCAACCTCAGTTATCATAGTGGTTTGTTTTGCTCCTGGGAAATAATCTGCTGCTTTGAGTTATCATCATTCAAGCAGTGGATGTGAGGCAGCTCTTTTATTTCTCAACTTTTATTTTCGTTTAAAAAGCTCTCAAAATCAGATGGTGAAAGGAAGCAATAACATGAAGATATTTGAGGAAATATGTAATATATTCTTATCTCTGGGTGGTAACTTTAGGTCTAGCAATCGGACAATATTATTGATAAGTCATAAAGCATAATCATTAAATGATACATGTGTGAAAAGATAGTTTGCTCTTTTGTTATAAAGATATAAACTCAAAAAAGTAAAAAGGTTGGGTATGAATATTTTTTTGGTGAAATTTGAAAATTTCCAAAGGGTTTGGAGAAAGTATCAGTTTTAGCATATTAAGTGTGAGAAAGAAGTTACTAAAGTTATTTTTCTATCATGATGGAAAAGAAGTGGTAGAGAGGTAAATAATAGGTCCATTCTTCAAGCCCACTGCAGTTGCTGAGAACACGTATGATGGGTAAGTATATGTATTGCTATATTATGCTATATATTATGCTACTCCTCTTTTTTCTTTCCAGACTTACCCACTAACTCAGGGGTTGGTACACCACAGCCCCTGGGCCAGATCTGCCCTGCCGCCCATTTTTGTACAGCTGGCAAGCTAAGACTGTTTTCTTTTACATTTTCAACTGGCTGAAAAGCCCGCAGAATAATAATATCTGTGACCCATGAAAATTATAGGAATTAATAAAATATATTTTATTGGAAAATAGTCTTGTTCATTTATTTACACATTGTCAGTGGGTGCTTTCACACAACAATGTCAGAGTTTAGTAGTTGCATAGATACCTTATGACCTGCAAAGTCTAAAATGTTTGCCACTTGTCTTTTTACAGGAACCTTGTCAATCCCCGTACCACATTTTTCATTCTTTAAGGGCAGGGATTATGTTTTTTAATTCTCGGCGTCCGGTACAGTACTTAGCCCGTGGAACACGATTTGTTGAAATAATTGATTCTTTAACTGTAGTCACACTAAATACGTCCTCTACCAGTCAGTGTCTGGCTATCTTCTTTTACTTGTTCTCGCATAGTCATCTAGTTCTTTTTTTTTTTCTTTTCAAGATTTTATTTATTGATTTGACAGAGAGAGATCACAAGTAGACAGAGAGGCAGGCAGAGAGAGAGAGAGAAGCAGGCTCCCCGCTGAGCAGAGAGCCCGATACGGGACTCCATCCCAGGACCCTGAGATCATGACCTGAGCCGAAGGCAGCGGCTTAACCCACTGAGCCACCCAGGCACCCGAGTCATCTAGTTCTTAAGCTCCCTGTTGTATTAGGCAGTTCTCTCCTCTTTGCACAAAAGCTCATTAGTCTGAATGGCGTAAGTACCACTCCATCAGTGTGCCCCCTTGCACCACATCGCCTCTTGCCCCGTTTGACTTCTGTCTGCCTTTCCAGTCCCCAGCCTATGGCTCCTTCTGTCATCTACTTTCTTCTCCCTAACTGTGGAATTACTTAGGAAAGTTACATGAATTGTGTATTTACCATCAGTTTAAATCCATTTATTTGTCCTTCAGTGGATTCATTTCGCTGCTTGTCAATTATTTTATTATTCATCATGCCTTACCTGCTTTCTGGTTAGATTTTCCCAGAATTTTTCATGCTGGTGTAGCCCCTAATTCTACTTCTCTCTCATTTTAAATGTTTAAATGCTTTTAATATTTGCCACTTAGTTTATTAAGAACATTCAGGTCATCTCATTCAGATTTCCACAGCTTCCCTCTTCTTTGCTGCCACATCTTTTTTGCCTCTAACCCTCTATAATCAACTATCTACTGTACATTTCTTCTGTGAGGTCAAAATCAACATGTCTAAAACTGAATTTATTACGTTGTTCCTAAAATGAGCATCTCTTCCTGACCTTCTATTTCTATTAATTTATCGTTACTATAGTAATTTAGACTTGAAATATCTTTGATCTCTGTTTTCTATATCCAAATAGTCATTAAGTTCTACAAATTATTTCTTCCCATAGTCTTATAGCCTCTTCTTTCTTTTTATCCTCGAGACCGTTACCATGGTGATCACAGAGATGATGAGGAAGACAAGTGCTAGCTTTGTTTCAAACATTAATTCACATCCTTGTCTTATTCTTACACCTCCTGATTTTCAACTTGTCTCCCTCCCCATCATCCTATATACTCTTACTACAATTAAGTTTAGGTACAAGCAGGTGAAACCTTATAATGTATCTCACTGCCTTCTCCCAACTCTTCAGTGACTACCAATGCCTAACAAGTTCCTACTCCAAAGCTCAACATTTAAGAATTTTACTGTTTGTCCCTAGCTTCCCCTTCTACTTTATTAGTCTCTACTGTCTTATAACTGTTCTGTGTGCCCTTCCAAGTGAATCATTTTACCTTTTCCCCTTGCATCTTTTAACACTTTCCTCATTTCTTTTTCTTGTCCCAGAAAGCTCTTTCTGCCTGCTTAGCATTATGAAAATCCATCTAATTTGTGAGGGTCAGCTCAGAAGACATTCTTCTCTGTGATAGTTATCATCCCTGTTGAAAAGGACCTCTCCCTCTTTTAGACTCTTGTAGCACACTGTCATTTTACAGTTCTTATCACAAATTGTGTTCTGTTAGAGCAATTTCTATGTACATCTTTTTGGCTTTTGTTATAAGCCTCTTGGAAGCAGTAACAATTTAAAAATATTTTTGTATACCCATTACATCTAGCATACTGACCTTTAAGTAGCAAAAACTTGGGAAGTTTATGTCAAATTAATAGTAAAGGTGCTTGTCATCTCTTCTACCAGTTATTGTGATATTCATTTAAAAGATCTTTACTGAATGCCTGCTAAAAGACACTCTACTATGTGCTATGAAGATTCAGAAATAAACTAGATATAAGGCACTTGGGTGGCACAGTCGGTTAAGCATCCAAATCTTGGTTTCAGTTCAAGTCATGATCTTAGGGTTGTGAGATTGAGCCCCATGCTGTGCTCCATGCTCAGTGTCAAGTCTGCTTAGGTTTCTCTCTCTGCCTCCCTCTGCCCTTCCCCTCAGCTCGCTCTCCGTCTCTCCCTCTTTATCTCAAATGAATAAGTAAATCTTAAAAGAAAGAAAGAAATTAGATAAAGATTCTGCCTGTGGGTAACTCATGTTTTAATCATTGAAAGAAGACGTGGGCATAACTAGTTGGAGCGTAAGGTAGAAAGTACTATGTGCTATGGGGGAGCTGGCTAAAACATTCTGTAGGAGCACTAGGGAGGACCTGGGCATAGGTGGTTCCTTATTAAGTTGTTCTTTGCTCTTTACAATCAAAAAGAACTTTAAAAAAATCAGTATTTCCTTCTACTTTTATTCATTAAACAAGTCAGCAGAAAATATATTGGAACTGGAGCCTGGAAAAATTTGATTTTTTTTTTTCTATTAAAGTTTCATGAGTTATTTGAACTTTACTCTGCTCTTGTGTCTTCAGAGTTGGATGTAAATCAACTTTCTACAGGTTTTGGCAAGCTAGATTGGTGTTCAGTTTTCTGGGTTGATGAGGGAAAGAGGTTTCTTATAGTGCATCAGCATTTCCCGGAGGGTTTTCTGCTGAATACTAGCCCTGAGAGATGCTCCACAAAAAAGGGTTCGATGGACAAATGAGTTTGGAAATTGAGGCCCATACCGCCTTCCACTTGGTGAACACAGTTTAATTAATTAATTAATTGATTGATTAAAAATTCATGGTTTTTATTTGTATTTATTTTTTATTGAAGTATAGTTGACACACAATGTTACATTAGTTTCAGGTGTTGAGCATAGTTTCGGCTGTATCCCATAGTGATTTGATGACTCTATGCACATCACGATGCTCACCAGAAGCATAGCTGCCATCTGTCATCATACGCTGCTATTGTGGTACTGTGCTGTTCCTTTCACTCCTAGAATCACAACTTACTTTATGATTTTTTAATAGACTTGATTTTTTATAAGAGTTTTAGATTTACAGAATTAAGAAGATATTATAGAGTTCCGATAGATTCCACACCTAGTCTCCCCTATTAGCTAATGGTCATACTTTATTTGTATTTTCTTAGTTTTAACCTTCCTTTTTCTGTTCTAGGATACTGTATTACATTTGTTTGTCATGTCTTTGTCATGTCTCCTTAGGCTCTTGTT